GGGAGTCAAACTCAGGACCTTGCACTTGCCGGGCAGGAACTTGTGCCACTGAGCTATATCCCCGGCCCAACTCATGTGGTTCTAAGTGAAGCTAATTACACTCTTGCAGTCACTAGGGTATGACTTAGACCTGAGCCAGTACACGCAGTACATTCCCCTGGCCACAGTGATTGGCAGTAAGCAAGTTGGGAAATAATTCAGAATCTATAAAATGTACCAAAATTTAGGCTGGGAATGGTAGGTCTGAAACTCTTGTTTTATGAGACATCCCTGGGAGATGCTGGCAGACACCGCCCCCTGGGAGATGCGAGCAGACACCGCATGCGCAGAAGAGGACAGTCATCATAAAGAAACGAGTGAGCGCTGCTCATGTCACTGGGGCCTTTTTTGAGCTTTTTCCACTCATGCTGTTCATTTAAATCAGCTAACATGGATTCTCTTTTTGTCCATCTCAGTTTGGGGTGGTTTCTTGTCAATGGTAATAATTGCATAGTTAATTAGTGGCAATTCCAACACCAGGTCTTTTGAATTTCAATCTAACCTTCTTTCTACTTTGCCATGCTATTTCTCAAATGAAAGTCTTCCCTAGGGTTGGAAAGCATACACCTCTCCAGATCTCCCCCTTCATAGCCTATTAAACAACTTTTAGAAGCCCAAATCCAGCATGTGAAATTCAGTCATGAGCTAGTATACACACGTGTTTGGGCATGACATTCTTATATATTTGAAATAGCAATACGTGTCAGAGACAAGCCAATTTCAGAAATTTTGTGTTAAAATTACCTTTAATTTAGGACAAACAGTACTGAGTCATTTTAAGCCATAGGATCATGACACAGCAGCCATCACCTGGTGCTCTATACAAGAGTTATGTTCACCAAACAATAGGAAGTTGTGTGCCTGAAATTCAAACAAATTATTGGCAAAGAAATAGTGTTTAATTAATAATTTACTTTTTACGCTACAGAAGGAAAGCTGATTCAATCTAAAATGTGGCTGAGGGCTGGGGATTTAGCTCAGTGGCACAGCACCCACCTGGCAAGCACAAGGTCATGAGTTTGATTCCCAGTACCAGAAAAAAAAATGTGGCTGAATACTAGAGCACAGTGAAGGATGTAAGAATACTAAAACTGAAGAGGATGGTGCTTAAACAAGATTATCCAGCAGGAGATGGAAAGGTGAATGAGCATGTGGCCCTTCTAATATAGGTCTAGATACTACCAAAGGCCATAGTTGTAAGTGATTTGGGTTTCTTATTATAATAGTTTCCATTTATCCATGGTTTTGCTTTCTGAAGTTTCATTAATTCATGGTCAACAGTAGTCCAAAAATATATAATTCTGGAAAATTTCAGAATTAGCCAGGCATGGTGGTGCATGCCTGTAATCCCAGCACTCAGGAGGCTGAGACAGGAGGATTGTTGTGAGTTTGAGACCAGCCGGGGCTACAAAGTGAGCTCAGGGCCAGCCTGAACTGCATAGTGAGACCCTGTCTCAAAAAGACAAAAAAAAAAAAATGACTTACTTTTTAATGAATTTTATTACAGTATATTGTTATCATGGTTCTGTTATTAGTTACTGTCACTCTTTCACTGTGCCCAATTTATAAAGTAAACATTATCATGGGCATGTATGTATAGCAAAAATTTAACCTAGGGTTTGTTCTATCCATGGTTATAGGCATCTATGGGGAGTCTCAGAATGTATCCATTATGGATAAAAGAGGGATTATTATAGGATTAATTTCACATCAAGATGCATAACTTTTATTGTCAATGATATAAAAATACTTGTGCCTCTTTTTGTTTATTTGCTATGCTGAGGATCAAATTCACGGCCTCATGCATGCTAGGCAAGGACTCTCGCACTGAGATGTATCCTTAGCCCTGTTATTCTTAAACTTCAAAAGCATACAAAGGTATAATGAAGAAAGGGAAAACACACAAAAAAGTTTTCATTTGTTCTTTTAGGTGTTTTTGTTTTGTTCTGTTTTGTTTTTGGTTCCAGGAATTGAACTCAGGACCTTGCACTTGCCAGGCAGGTGCTTGTGCCACTGAGCTATATCCCCAGCCTCATTTGTTCTTTTAATACATACTTCATGTACACATACTCTGCTTTCAAAAGTTTGTATCTTGAAAGGCCGTTGTACATATAGATCCAGTGGTAGCTGGATGAGGAATTGATAGAGGAAGGTGCAGGAGTGATGAAGGGATTTCAGCTGAGGGTTAGTGCTTCCTGCAGGAAGACACTAGGATAAGAGGTAAGACTTGATTAGGCAGAGCCAGAAGCTGGGGTTGAGCACAGTATAGAAAGGAAATTTTGTGGGACGGCATGAAACTGCTAACCAGAGTGTTGTATCAAGGAAGTGGGTGTGATTTAGTGTGAAGGGAAATAAAAATGGATAGATAAATGTTTGAGCATTTAGTCTGAAAGTCGTGCAAAACTTTAAATGATGTTTAAATAAGGTTTTCCTATTGGTCAGAAGAGGTGTGGTGATAAACTGATGGGCGACTTGTAATATGCAGCTGAACTGAATCAGTGTGATTCTGGGTGTGGAATTCCCACTTAAGGGTTGTTGCCAACAACAGCAAAGCAAAGTTGGAAGGGAAGATGGTGAGCTGTTGTCTCTCCTGGAGAAGCTTGTCGTTCTGGTTTTCCTCGTATGAGATCAGCTGTTATCATCATCAGAGGAGCATTGGGTCCTACCGGTCGATGAGGATGGCTGTGGTTCTTTTGTGGGGGGAAGGTATCTTTGATCCTTACCTTGAGTGTTGCTTTCTGGTTCCTTGGTCTGCTAGCACAGATCTTTCATCCCACTGGCACAGACTTTCTAGCTTCTACCACTGACATTTGGGCTTTCCCAGTGCAGATCCTCAGTACAGACTTGTCAATGTCATGCTCTCTAGGCCTCTAGCTGGACTCATGCAGGACGTTGCTGTGGGATCCGGGTCCTCAGCTGGATTCTTTGGGTCTCTAGTGCATCAGTTCTTTTGCACTCTTCTGCATTCAACTTTTTGGGTGAATATTACAAAATAGTCCTATAAATTTGTGTCCTGTATTAAATCTCTTCCCTTGAAAACCTTGACTACAACAAGAGGGAAGGTGGGGATGGACCATAACAAGGAGAAGGAATGTGTGTGCATAAGTAGATGCATAAAGAGATCATAATGTATGCCATAAACTAAGCTTCAGAAGCAAGTGAAGAAAACAACATATGAAAAATCGTGCAAGCAGAAGGAAGTGGTAAGCATCAGACAGTGCTAGTAGACAGATAGTCCAGACAGAGCGTTCATGGGACAGGTTGGTGAGGTCCAAAGAGCCTTTAGATTAGAAGTGCTTAATATTAATGTTATTTTAACTGGAATTCATTAGGATTACTTTGCATATTTTAAGAGTCACTAAAACTGAGGAGCACAACATTTCAGCTAGAATGGCAAATGTCTATTCCCTAGAAAGAAAACAACCAAGCCATTTGCAAAACACATTTTATGATTAAGACACTATGAAAACATGGGTAGAGATGTTCCAGAGACATCACCAATGATGACCATGTTGACTTAAAGAGATATGAAGTAAACTGTTTCAAATACCCCTCAGGCTTGTGTTCAACAGCATCAACATTCTTACCCAGAGTTTGCATTTTTAGTAGAAAACTACTGTGAGGGGTTGAGCCGGAAGCAGAAAGGCCAAACCTTCTCTCAGTTGTAGCCGCATGGGTTCTTTCCCAAGCTCGGTTGTGCTTCAGGAGTTTTGCTTTGCTTGGCCTTTTACAACTTGGCAGCTCAGGAAGTATAAAATGAGAGACTCAGCAGATTTAAAACTTTTTTTTTTTTTATGCCGTATGTTCCTTGAATGTTAGTGTTTCTTGGACAGGGATTCCTGTTGTCCTAATTAATTATTGGTGTTCTTTGAAAGTAATCTTCAGCATTTGTGAATCTGCCTGATGCTTTTAATTTGCACTTACTGTAGGTAAGTGGCCAGGTGAAATGTAAGCACTATATTTGGAGGCTTTCTTGAAAGTTGCTAAATTTAGTGGCAACTTTGGGGTGGCAGCTGTAAGAAATGTCAATGGGTAAAAACAAAACAAAACAAAATCCAAAATAGTGCTGCTATTTCTTACTCTCTTACTTCCCTCTATGAGAGCTGACTTTTAAAAATCCTTTGTTGCTTCATAATACATTTTCAACTACATTCGAAGTAATTAACACCAGAGATAGGGTCCTGTTGTCACATTTAATTATGGGATAGCTACTTTCCTTAGGGATGTCTGACAGTTGCCCAAAATGTTGGTCTTAATCTAAAACCAAGAAGAGACCTTTGACATCATGAAAGCTACCAAAGTGGCATTTATTAAATATAAATGGTAAGTGTCTAAAGAAGAGGTGAGAAAAGAGCACCAGTTCACATCTCAAAGAGAAAATCCTCCCAGCACAAAAGGAAATTACGTTAGCTCTTAGCTGAAGCTCCATCAGTTTCATTTGTCCTAAGATGATACAAAGATGTGTGCATTCCTATAAAGCATTATATGTGCATTGAGAAGTAAAAAGTATTCTGACCCTCAAGTTCTAACTCCAATCTGCCAAACTCTCTATAAACAGAAGGGCTTCTGTTAGTCTGTTATCTGAAAAGTGCCTTGGCTGAGCAAGAAATTTAAATGATATTGATTTGAAATGAAGGAAACTCATTTATGTGCATTTTATAAACCCTAAGTGAATCAGTCAAATATATGCACTGAGATAAAAAAAAAAAAATCTGTTACCCTCTGGGTAGTATCTTGTAATAAGCTGGAAATGTAAAACGCATTAATAGTATTAGAAATTTGGTGCCTAATGAATTGTGCCCATTATTGGAGATTTTCTGTGATAACAATGCCTTAAAAGCTAGAAATTGCCCATCACTATGACATAGAGAAAAGATTTCATTAAAAACATCAGGAATTATCTCCAAGCAGTATCATATTTCATGTGGTTAAAGAAACATAGGCTGAGCTGTGGTACTTACTATGTGAGGACTATGGCCACTGCATCATTCAACACACTCTCCCCGAACAAAAGTGTATACAGGTCAGGGTCGACGTGCAATTCATGGAAAATGGCCAGCACTGTCACTAGGAAGACACACAAAGATGAAGAGTTAGCTGGAACATGGCCATGGAATTTTCCTGTCCTGAAAAGAACTTAGGAAGTACTGATCTTCTAAAATCTGTCCTTTATACCAACACTAGATCTTTATTCAAAAAATATCTGATTAGGTCATCGCTTGCTTAGAGATGTCCCTTGGATCTCCCGTGCTTACAGAGAAAATCTGAGCTCCTTGGTACAAGTCCTTTCAATCTGTATCCTGCTTAACCTGCAGCAACTTTTGTGTCTGTGCAATAGCAAGAAGAAACATCAAAATGATACCCAGGGTTTGGAGGCAGATTTATTTACATCATTACTGATTAGGATCATTCCCAGAATATCAGGACCCAATCTCTGGTGGCTTAGGGGTTATATGAGATAAGCAAGCAGGAAATACAGAGGCAGAATGGCTTGTCAACTGGGGATTGGTTTATACAATGTGCACCACAGTGACCAGCTGTTTCTAAGAGACAGGAGCAGCTGGATCTAGAACGGGAACTATTACCTGGGCAACTAAGAAACTGAAGTGTACTGGCTTGGGAGCCGTGTTCTGTTACATTTCCTCCCTCTTTTAGTTTTCCCAGCAAATCTTTGTTGGACATATTATTACATGTGATCTTCTGAGACAAGGCCCAACTAGAAGCAGCAACATTAGGGCTGTCTGTGATTTTAGGATGGGCCTAGCCAAGGTCCCCAAGACTGAAAGTTTTTCCACCAGGAGTTTGTAGTTTGTTCTCCTTATTATGGGGTTTTCCCTAACTTGATTCTGACAAGGGAGTGAAGGAGTTATGGGATAAGCAAGCAGGAAGCAGTTTGCTGTGCACATCATCCCTGCAGGAGAGTGTTGGTCAAAAAAGTTTTGTCCAAGATGACTACAGTGTATCTAGCCTGTAGGACTTTCTTCCTAACAGAGCTACTTCCATCCAGAAATAGGGTGTTCTGAGCATCTGGCAGGGGGTCCATTTTTTAGAGTAGTTCATCCCAGTATAGCATGTGGAAGTGGCACCTGGACAGTTAGGTCTCAGCCTAAGGTGACCTTGTCAGCTTTCTTCATGAGAAGGACAGTGGTTGCTAGAGTGCAGAGGCAAAGGGGGGAAGCAGCCCTTAGGGAATGGATCTAAGTATTTGCAAGGTAGGCCACTGGGTTCTCCTAGGGGATGACAGTCTGCATCATTGCTTCTATGAACTCAGGGATCCAGATTTTATAGATGCTAGCAGCTCCAAGAAATTTGTGGAGCTTTTTCTTATAACCAGTTTTGGGCTAAATATTGTAGCAGAGCTTTTGTGCCTTTCCAGTGGACAGTGTGTGTGTCATCAATCAAAAGTGCAGTGAAGGGAAAACATGTTCTTGAACCTCTGGAAGGTTGAGTCCAGGTCAGTTAACCTTTGAGTCCAGAACTGGGGTCTTTGTGAAGAGGGGCTGGCTGAGAGGAGCCAACTGAGCTGAAGGCAGAAGAAAGCATTCTTTAGCTTTAGACAGGTATACCAGCAGGCTGCGGGTAGTAGAAGACTAAGGCAAGATATACGGAGAGCAACTGTGGTAGCATTGGCAGCTCAGAGATCTTACACTAGCTTTCCAGGCAGGCGAGTTGTACTTTAGCAGTTTGAAAGTCTATACTGTTTGCCCAGGGGACCATGACATAGCTGGAAGGGAAAGTGAAACCTTGGAGAAAAGGTACTGGTGCTGGACAAATCTGTTGTTAGAGCCTTCCCAAAAAGAGTGGGAGAGCTCTTAAACCCTTGTAGCAATTGAGTCCAAGTGAACTGGCCTTTTATGTCAGGATATTCCCAGTTGAAAGGGCTTATAGGGACAAGTCACAAGCAGACAAAGGCATATTTTAAATATAGAACAGTCCAGAAAGGGTGTATGGGTCAGGAACCACAGTGTAAAAGGTGATGGCTATGTTGCTGATGGCACGGAGATCTTGCCCAAAGTGATTAACAGTCTATCACACTGATGTGTGGCTGGATGCCTGTTTATGTTTTCTGTGACATCTGGTAGCAGTGGGAGCTGTGGTGAGATGACATGGTTGATGACCCGGCCCAGAGGCAAGTCCTTAGTTCATACCTCTGGGAGGAGAGTCTCCAGAATTTCAGGATGGCAGTTACCTTTCTCAGGCTGATGCAGACAGGTTCTTTCTCTCAGGGAACAGACAGAGTTGAAAGTGCAGGGTTAAATGAGAGGGAGGCTGACTGTCTTGGTGCAAAAGAGATGGTTGCTTCAATTTGAGGAGCAGGTCTCTTCCCAGAAGCAGTATGGTGACTGGGAGGACACAGGAGGTGTCCTCCCAGGCTGCAAGTTTGTACCCGGCAGAAGGGGTGAGAGGCAAGAGTCCTAGTTGCCCCAGTGATGGCATTATGGATTTCTGGTGGCCCAGCTAAAGAACAGAGTCTAGTCTGAGCCTGTCAGACTGATGAAAGGGTTGTCATCTGAACCAAGTTGGAATTTTGGAGAGTTCGTTTTTTTAAAATATGAATGGGCATTTAATTTTTAGTGTCCATAGACTTTATAGCTCATAACCAGAGGATATGTTTGTCTATCCAACTAGATTTTCTTATAGACATGAGGTGATTTTCTTTAATCAGGTTTCTGTGTAACAGTGGTTGATGGGCTTTCCCCCACTCCCTTTTGATGTCTTTGAGAAGCACTTGATTGACTTTAGGTTTCTAGGCAAGGCCACTTTTGGGGAAGGTCATGGCAACTTATTTGTCAGGGCTGACAGTCCAATTTTTCCTCAGTCAAAATGTGGACATTTCTGTGTTGAATAGACTCAGAAGGAATTGCTGGCAGTCATCTCGGGTGGGCATGAGATGATGTCATCTGACCAGGATAGGTGTAACCATGAAGCAGAAGGTTCAGAGGTGGGCACCTCTAATGCTGAGTGCAGGCAGTGGTTAACTGGAACCAGTTCAATTGGCTGGAAATACATGAGTTGGGAGCGGGGGTGGTGAAACTGTTGGTAGCAACTGTGGTAGCTGATGAGGTTGCCAAGATGGGATTCTCAAGAAGAATGGGCCTCTTCTCCCCACCCTTTTCTTTCTTTGAGACAGGGGGAGTGGTTTGGTTTCATTTTTAACTCTGTAAAAGCCCTTTTTCCTGCAGTCAGTGACTGTGGGTTTTGACTAATTAATTACCATTTATTTCTGGCTCCCTACCTGTGTATTGTGTACCCTTGAATGATGATGCAGCAGACAAAGGGTGAGTGCCCCTCAGAGAGAGACAATTCAGATGCCTGCCTAGTAGTGCCCCTCATGGGGGCTTAAGCACAAATTAGCTAAGGAGGATGCAAGGCTTCCTTTATGCCATATGCTGATTATCACGGAACTGCAGGTGAGGGCCCAATCAGCCACATGACCAGAGCTTCCCAGCCTTGGTGCACAGATGGAGCAGCCTATTGCTTACGCTGTCTGTTCCACTCACACAATCATTCAGTAGGCGCTCAGAGGTTAAAACATTCCAACCCCCCTTCTCTGGAGGATGGCCTTAACTAAGAAGAGTTCATCAACCTCTTCTGGTAAAACTGATCAGGACTGACAGACTGACTAACTAGGGTGCCCCAAGGGTCTTACTGGAATCAGGTAGACAGGTATACACACAGATTGCATCCTCCTCTCTTTGGGGTCTGATGTGAACTGCTCCAGTGGGGCGGTAAGAATCCTCCTCCAGATCTCTGAGGGGTCTGGGGAAATCTCAATGGCATGCCTTCCCCTTGGGACCTGGAGAGATATTTGCTCCATCTGCAAGGGGCAAGACCAGTGACCAAAGAGGTCAGCATGGTTGGTCTTCCTGGACAATGCACCAGATGCTAAGGCAAACAGAAACACTACCCAGGATTTGGAGGTGGATTTATTTACACTGACAGGCACTGATCGGGATCATTCCCAGAATATCAGGCCCCAATATCTGATGGTCTAGAGCTTATATGAGGTAAGCAAGCAGGAAGTATAGAGGTAGAATTGGGGATTGATTCTCACAATATGCATCATAGTGACCAGCTATGCATCACAGTGACCAGCCGTTTCTAAGAGACAGAAGCAACTGGAACTGGAACAGGAATATTACCTGGGCAACTAAGAAACTGAAGTATACCAGCTTGGGGGGCCATTTTCTGTTACATCTGCACCCCTTTTCCACCCTTTGCTGGTTCCCTCAAGCCACATGGAATTTATCATAATTTTACAAACATGCTGCATAGTTTCTTGATTTGCTTTGCATTTTGATTCCATCTAATAAGGCAGCAATTCTTGTCATCCAGCTCCTACTATTACATTCAATTGCATAAATGCACATACTTCTTGTTAGAAAAGATCCATTTATTCATTTTTAAGAACCTCTCAACTGACCTTTTCTCAACCCCTTGACTTCCTCAATGGTGACCTGGCTCACTGTTGTATGACACTAGCATTGCATCCAGTCTCAAATTTATCATAGAAGGGACTGTGAGATCTGTCGAGATAAAGTCTGTCTTTGCAACACATGATATTGACTAGCACTCAGTAAGTGTTTGATGCATGAATGAATAAATGAATGAGTAAATGAATGAGTATTATTACAGTGGTGGAAGGGGTGGGTGGCACCTGCCTCTCATTCACTCCTGAGATGACAGTCATCTTTAAAGATAAGCTCAATTTCCATAAGAGGAGGACTTGTTTCCTGTGGACTGCTGCACGGTTACTATATGCTGTATACCTGCACTGAGCCTCTGTGAATACATTAGGATGGTAAATAATCACAGACTGATTATCTGTGTTCATCACATCCATTCAGTGTCTTGATATTTGAAACAGTTATGCAAAGCGTGAACAGCAATCATTAGGAAAATGATCCATTGGATTGATTGCCAAGGGGGAGAGTGGTTGAAAACGATACTGATGGTAACTTCTGAAGGCAGAGTAAATGTTTTCATTTCAGTTCTTTCCTATTTCATGGACTGTGAGGATAGTAAGTATGCTGTGAAAGAATGCTATACGGAAAAAGTAAGAAAGG